TTTACTTGAATCAGAACAATGTATCCACACTCCAACAAACAAAACACTCCACATATAGTAAGAGTGGAAGGTAGAGTCAAAATCTTCAACATGCAGGGGCTCCAAAAGGTCTTTTCTGGTTCAGAGAATCTTTGAAGAGATCTTTGATGTGATCACCAGTTAAAAACAGTCTGATCAGTTTTTTTCCATAGGTCTAATTAAGTGGTTATTACATTTCAGGGTTATGATACATAAAATAAATAATTTCTTACGAAGTTAAAATGTATCATTTATACATAAGACCCGAATCACACTGTAGAAATGACTGGAAGCAGATTCTACCCACGCAATTAAACATTAGAATCATCCAATAAAGAATTTATGAGAAACATGCTGTATTTATATGAGTGTAACAGCCAGGATTAAATTACTCCTGTCTATCGTGACATGTCAAAACTATTGCGTGGAAGAAAAAAAGAATATTGCAGAATGATAAAGCATCATGTATCATTTTTTGAATCATTTTTTTTTTATTCAATTGCAGAATTGGTAAGTAAATTAAATACGGCAACATACGGTAGCCATCTCATATCCATATAGCAGCACATATGTTTAAAATGTATTTTTAAAACAAAGAAATGAGAATGTATGCATGAGCACACATAAATCAAACTGCACTGTGTATTAAAAGTTCATCTGTGGATTATGCATTAATGAATTAGTAGATTTTGGACTGTTAATTGATGGAAGATTAGACTAGCAAACAGAAACAAATAATTAATTGTAAATTATTTTAGCATGATGTTTTCTTTTTTCATTCACGATTATGAAATGAAAAAAAACCCCCATCAAAGTGTGACTTTTTGTTCAGCTGATTGAATGAAATATTAGCTTAATATAATATTATGGCCGGTGGTTTTCTGATCTCTTTAAACAAATATATCCAATGAGTCCTAATATGATAAGATGATAATTGCACTACAATCAGGCAAATAGCTATTTTTGTGATATATGGCTATAAATTAAGAGTCGGAGAGCATATCTGAGAAGTCCATAGTATAAATAGTGTTTTTAGGCTCAATGGTCCTGTTGACCATTAACATCTGTTATCTTGTAGCTCAGCTGATAGCAGAGGAGGGACAAGAGTGAAGGTGAAGGGCCCAAATGAGACTGGAAACACAAGGTAAGTTTAAATGTATATACTCTGACCACAGGCAATGATTGTACACCATACATCTTTAATAATGTTAAAAGTCAGAAATGGATGCACACGTTT